GGACCAATACTTACTCAAATTTTGCAGTTTCTATATTTAATGTGGAATTGACCTCAAAATAGAGAAAGAAGCTCAGTTCGGAGCTTAGTTGCGGAGCGCCCATTCTTAATACAATTGTATCCCCAACTTTATAATTGTTCCAAATCACATCCTGACGACGATAAAGATACACAGGCTGAAGAAAGTCACTTGGATTAACAATTTGTGCGAGAACATGCCTAAGAGGTTGGCCACTATTAATTCCTAGAGCAGTCACATTATATTTAACGGTGAGAGGAATACATTCAGATTCGGAGTTCAGAAGCTTAAGTTTGTGAAAATCCAGATAGATCCGAGAAGCGCACTCAGATTCATTGGCACAATTAATGTCACATGACGCACTAGAGATGGTTTTAGAGCCAGGGCGCAATGAAACTTGAATTTCACATCGGAGCGTTGCACTTTGTTGACCAATGAGATCACCGTTTTCTACTGAGCATAATGAATGAAAAGGCTCGATGCTATCACTAAGCATATAGATTACATGAGTATCAAGAAAGACGGATATGCTAGGGACTTTGTAGATGTGGGGTGAGATAACAGGGCCAATGCGAGAATTTATGGTGCCTTCCATTGCTGGCTGAATGAAAAATAGAGTCTTCTTGGCGGATGAAGCGTTAGTGTAGACAGTAAAGGCAAGTTCTTTCTGGTGAGTAAATACATCTTGTCCAAATCCTAAAATAAATATGACTTTAATGACAACTTACCTAGGGGTATTATAAATAAGATATAATTAAATAGTTGAAATATGTGTGCAAGATAAAAGGGAATTGCAATGGGACTAAACATATCAATACATAGGATGGAATTAAGGCCACAAAACGTGAGAGATAGACAGCGCCCTACTTATAAATCTGATTTACTTGATGCGTAAAACAAATTACTTTATTTTGGTCATCAAATATATGAAGACGTTAGGACCACAAAATAAAATCTAAAGGCTTTTAGATTTATTGTATTAATAACTAACATATTTAACTTTGTTGTAAACCTAACTTAAGCAAATTAGTATTTAAAAACATATTAATAAAAGCTACGGTCCAGGATTTTTAAATTATTTATAAATGCTTTCTATTGTAAAACTGGATTTCTAGTGACCTGATGAATAAGGCTATTCTTATATTTTTCTTTGTTACATCAATTAAAATTATCTTGCCTCCATCAAAACTTAACTTTGGTTTAGGTTTGAAGTATCTTCGGTAAGTTAAATTTCTTACAAATTTCATAATGTGTTGAAAGATATGGGTTTTAACTAATAGGGAAGGATCGTATATTTTATGGAATACCAAAGAGTCTATTTCCATATTACCCTGGATTTTTCGGCACAAAAACACTAATAAACTTCACAAGTATAATTACTATGATATTAAATTAACAGTAAAATATTAAAGTAAGAAGGCCTCTCAAA